AGGTCTAGTCAGAGACATATTAGAGGCAGAAACAGGAGTTAGGAGGGGTAGAGGTAGACCTAGATTAGATTACTGTTCGCAAATAGTTGAGGATATGGGTTGTTCTAGTTTTAGGGAAATGCGAAGATTAGCTCAGGATAGGAAACAGTGGAGGTGCGTGTCCAACCAGTCTTAGGACTGACGACCTTATGATGATGATGATAATAATACTTATAATACTTTCTTACCTGCTTTTAGTAAAACGATTTGGTCGTCTTGCGAGAGCTTCATAAAACCGGGTACCATTTTGGCGAATTCGATTATTTGTTGTATGACGGTGGTTAATTTTTGCGCGCATTCGAGCCAAAGTTCCTCGTGGGCCATGTTCTTATAATAAAGCAGTCGCGAGAGGTCGTTCGGCTTGCGGAACATCTCGTGAATGTGATCCAGCGTGAAAAGACATGTGCGGGCATGTGCGTCTGATATCGTTTTCGCCAAAAGTTCGGATATTTGACTTGGGTCTGGAACAGAAACGATGATTAATGCTTGTCACACCCTATCAAAATATCGACTTTTATCGAATTTCAGTTGAAAGAAAAGAATTTAATTTTCTGACCTTATCCGATTCAGACAGTGAACGATTTGAACAAAATTTTAAAATACATACAAAAAAAATCGGGTGATATAAAATACTCATCCATATAAAAATTTTGTAGTCTGATTAACAGTTTTAAAATTCCTATTGATTACAACCCAAAAACTAGCATCAATATAATAAAGCACCCTAGGTTAATATAAAACCTAAAACTAAGTGAAGCATTTCTTCTATGTTTAAGGTTTGCAATGTATGATGAGAGATGATTGTTCATTGATTCGTACTAACCTTATTTTGTAGTCTACCTATGTGAAATTTAAAATTCTGCTACACCAATAAAATTAATCTGATGGCGGAAACATTTTATTCCATTCATTACTGACGCAACATGATTCTAAATTTCACAAAAATCGACTATTACCAAATGCAAATGTTTGCTTGCATTGGACTATTTATATTAGATATATTTAGAGATTAAGTTATTTTCCTTTTGAATTAGGTATGTATTTACAAATTAGTTTTGTTCTACTATGGATATAAAATATTGCAACTTCAGTTAGTAGTAATGGGTGTTTCAGTAAAAAAGTGTTCTGCCTTTAATGTATTTATGAATGACACCAAAATGTACAGCAGTGATTAAGCGATGATTAAATTGAAAGGGTGTTTTGAAATATATGAAACGCTTTTTGTTTTATACTACAATTAAATTCAAGTCATTTTCAATTGCACATAATATTTTGTTAGTCCCTTCATTCAAATTCTTCGCTAGGCATACAAAATTTGGACTTCATTAAATATATTGCAAAATCAATATTATCTTTTCTATGCCAGTAAAAAATTGGGTTGCGTAACCTAAGATGCTTAGAACAGGGGTCAAAGATAAATGTCGTGTTCGATGACCTAATTTTTAGATGCTCTCTAGAAAATATTGATACCTTATTTGTCTTCAGATTGTATTTTTGCGCAAGAATTCTCTATTAAATAACTTTATAACTTATAGAATCAACTTCGAGTATTATTACTTTACTCAATAAAGATGCTTCCCTAACGGGGAGGTGGGATCGGCTGCCCAAGTAGTGGGCTTGTAGGGGAGGGGGTGGACAACTCGATTTTTGTGATTGTGGAGCGTTTGTACATTTAATAAAATGTTAACTAGAGTCCTGCCTGCCTAGGCATATTGTAATGATAATTTTGCGCTGTGTATTTTTGAGTTGATCAAATCAGAATGTAAAGTATGTTTTTCATTTTTCTTAGAAAAAAAATTTGAAATCCCTTTTTTTAACCAAATTGAGCATTTGTCCCTAAAAAATCTGGCAACCCTAATACTAATACTGACAATTAATAAGAAATGTAACAACCACTAAAGTGTGTTAAGTAGTTTGTACTTCTAAGCAATTTAATTTTTCAGTTACATCTTTCTATTTGTAAATAAGTAAATAAAAAAAAATATGTATACAGGAGAACAGAGGAGTCTATGGAAGTCAATAAAAAATAGGCGAGATAGGTTGGTAGGTTGGAGGAAGCCTTCGAAATGTGGTATTACAGTCGAATGATGAGTATACCGTGGATAGAGAAGGTTAGAAATGAAGAGGTATTAGAAAGAATTGGAAAACACAGGACTCTATGGAAGTCAATAAGAAATAGATAAGGTAGGTTAGTAGGACACCCTACATGAAACGTATCTAAATTGAAATGTGAAAAATGAACTGCAGTCAGATATTTCTCTTAATTGAAAAAAAAGCCTCTATTTTATTTATATATAAAACGAAGTTGAAAAAACCGATCACATTTTATCTATGAATGAATAGAAGTGCATGCGTTTGCTTAGCCGACAGATGGCAAGAACGAAATGGTTTTAGTTTTCATCTTTTGTTTTTGTTATGAAGTGTTAACTGACTAGAGAAAAGGATGTGATAACTAATGACTGAGAGTAAGTGAAAATGATTTTCTATTAGCATGACATCAGTGAAACTTATTGCAATTTTTCGTAATTCGTATTAAGCATTAGTTTTATATAAAAAATGTGATGTTACGAAAACTTTGGGAAGTCATTATATTACGCAATATACACTGGGTTCCCTAAACATCTAAATCGCCTTACACAAATTAACAATGGTCAACATATACATTAATTTAACTTAAGAATCTAAAAAAATTACTACTTCCATTTTAATAACTCTACACAAACGCCTTTGTAAAGTACATACAAAATTATTATTAAAAACAGGAATATATACAAATAAATACACTTCTGTATTATTAAACTTACAGCTTTTCCCAGAAACAAAATTAAATAACAATAACGTTCAGGTATTTCATCGTCGTGTTTGGAAGCCTGTTTGGAAATAAAGTAGTTCAAGAAAGTCCACCCTTAAGTCCTATTGGGAAAGTCACTGACACCCAAAGTACGTGATCTTTGACGTTATAACATTTGCAGTCTTTAAGCCCATTCGTTATCATTAACTTTCTCAGGAGGATTAAGTAATGCCGTTCTTAATCTACTATTGATCCAATAAACTTAAAATGAATGGGTTCTTATGAAATTGTGGCTGCGCCGAAGTGAAATTGGTTCAATATCTAAGCAGCTTCTCACCCCCTATTAACTGTCTCTATAAGACTTGAAATGAATAGAGTGGTGTTTCAGTGAAACATTTTCGATTTCATGACTAGTTTTCCCGCAATGTGACAAGAAGGTTGATCAAACTTTTTCTTCGATATTAAACATTTAAAAAACAATTTTGGCTAATTCGAGCATTCCAATATCACATTTATATTGATATAATTTCAATATTTCTCTCTAAAAACACATGTACTATTTGAATATTTAATCACAAGTTTTGTATTTCATATTCTTATGATTAAGAATGTCAGAATCTGTAGGAATCGTCTTCTTAATTAACAAAATCGGTGAAGAATTAGTCAATTAATGAGATCAACATTGGTCGACTTTGACGCTCCCTGATGGAAAAACTACTCACGCTACTCAGGGACATCCCCTCTATTCATTTTTCCAATAGTCTCGGCTATCTCGAAAGACAAATTTGCATTATAGTGATTTGTTTCCTTTGAAATATTCGTGACAATTAACAACAAAACAGAACTGCCCAGCAGTTCGTAGAATGATATAAGTAAAGAAAGCACGTCTTGCGTACGGGTAGGCATTAGGGCAGTGCGAATTATTCGAAATGACGAATAATTTGAATTGAGTCGAATATTCGTGTTTTTTTTTTTGAAATTTTCTTTATTCTCCATCTCGTAACTAAGTAATAACTTTGTTCATAATAACAGTTTATAATCTACAGTCGATGAAATGAAAATTGATTATCGATCATTAATAAATTAAAAACAATAATTTAGCTACGAGAATGAAAATAAGGGAAATTTGAGAAAAACCAATAATTCGAAAAAACCGAATTTGATATTTTCGAATTTTTCGATAAAGCGAATATTCGATTTGATTCGAGTACTATTCGCACACCGCTAGCAGGCATGTATTAAAAATTGTAAAACGCTACTTTTTAAAGGCTATCGTGAGTTCTAATAAGTTGATTGCAATGTTATTAATTAAGGGTCTTTTAATCAGTGGCAACAGGCAGGCAAAAATAGTAGGAGGCTCAGTTTCGAAATGAATGAAAGAACGTTCAAATGAAATTTGTATAGATAATATTCTATTTCATAAATACTTTCTATAATCTATTTCTCATATACTTTTTACATATACATCTCTTTATATATAATCATTTATAAAACCACGTGTCCACCATGAACTTAACTAACTTGACCTGTTATAAAAAATAGCGTACACTCATTAAGCATACAGTCTTTCTATGTGTATAATTCGAGTCAACTAAAATCTAACGACTAAAGTGAATTTTACTGGAAATACAATACTTACATACGTATACATATATATTATATTATTATGTTAATAT